TCTTGCGTAAAATAATGTACATGATTCCCGTAAAGAGGGTCAGCAGCCAGCCGAACCAAGCCATGATGTAGGACCACCCATACCAGCCATCTTTCTCTCCTTGGTGGAAGTGATCCGTGTAAATGGATAGTGCCACCATTATGCAGAAACCTAGATGGCCAAGAGTAAGGGAAACCTCACATATTTTGTATAATCCACTCTGAATAAACCGTTTGATTTGGGATTCATGAAAGCTGGATCTTACATGAGATGAGCTGTACTACTCCAGAAAGGATGAACCGCTTTCCTTTTGCAAGAAAAAACAGCTGGATTATGAAGACGGCAAGGGAGAAGACTGCAAACATGCAGGAGAGCACAGCAAACGCCTGGACTGCCTGAAGATAGTCTACAAGAATGGAACAGTGTTTATTAATGGAAATGTACTAAATGTATTTATTCTATTCAATTATTTGCATTACCTTTGCGGTATGAGGTCGGAATGTCTGTGTGCACCCAGACATTGTCATTGTTCTCCATCACCCATCTCCCCCACAGGTCCGTGTAAAGTGTGTCTGTAAACCACCATGCCTATGGATGAAGTGTCAATCAGATGGGAATAGATAAGACAGAGGAGTAGGACATACTTTTGCAAATGGGGTCTAATAACAGCGTTTTTAAAAAGTCTACAATAAAAAAAGGTATTAAAAAGTCGTAAAATTATTTAAAGTAACCATTCTGGGGTTTAATAAAATTTTCTTCATTTTCCGACACTTCGCGTGTGCTAGAGGCAGATTTCCCAGCATGCACTATGTGAGCGCCGCCACATCTGGTCGTTTACAAAGATGGCTGCCATAGCAACCCCAAATACACGGTTTTTTTTTTCATTTACAAAGGTTTTAAAGTCATGAAAACAATCGTTTTATGTTCGTTTTCGTGTAACAAATACAAATATGTCCGAAAATGTAATTGTAGTTAAATCGCTAGTTTTACCACGAAAATCCGTCATTGTTAGGATTCGATCGAGACGAATCTCTGTAAAACAGATTTCATGCCATCAAGTTATATGCTCAAAGCTACTTTTAAAGGAAAAATAGACCAATAACATTAATGATTCTCAATTTAGTGTCGTGTTTATATGTAAAATGTTCAAACGACCAGAAGTTGTGCATTTGCTGGTCCCTTAGAACCATTTGAATCGTAATCGAAAGTTCTTTACAAGTGTTATTTTAAGTAAATAAAACGTTCACGTGTCAAATTTATTCTGTTCGTTCTTTTAGACTTTTTAGCATCTTCATAAGATGTTGGTGTGAGAAAATGTAGTCATTTTGTTATTTTTTTCCAACTTCTTTATCCATCAATTGATTTGTTTGTATGTTTTATTTCATTGTACTTAAATTGTGCACACTGTGTTGTTATATTTTCAATTGTACCATTGTAGTTTGGTATTTTGTTTGTACGTTAGTAAACTAATATCTACAGAAATGGACAAAACAAATCAAGAGCTTAACTGAAATGTTTATTATTATTGCTTTACTTCATCTAAACCTTGATTATAAGGGAAATGTATCTAATTAAATGTTTAGATTTATTAAATATTTCATCTCTGAGGAAGTTAACTTGGTTTGTGTCTATCTCTATAAACATCTGTCGCATGAAAACACCCATTTGAACACTGTTATGAAAGTGTGCATAAAATAATCAAAATAACTTGCATCGTCGATAGTTGCCCAAAAAAGGAAGAATATTGTTGTCAGATGAAGCAAGCAGATTCCAGCCAAGGCTTTCAACATATTCAGCGGGTGAGAGCAGAAACTGGGTGAGAGGATGTCCTTCTGGAACACAAACAATAAAATACATGACACTTAATGAACAAATTTCTGAGCTGACGTGTGACCACTCAAACCTTCAGCTCCCTCCTCAGATTTTCAATGGGATCTATGGTTAAGAATCCAGCACCTTATTGTACTTGTTCTTGTGTGTTTTTCTTTTTGTTGCCTTGGAGAGTGTCATGATGCCATATCCATCGATACTCCATTGTCAATAGAGCAACGAATGCCTACCAGAACTTTACGGTCACTTTACGAAACCACAGTTTTAAAGGATTGTACTGTAAATTGTATAGTTTTTTTCATGGTTTATAACTGTATAATAAACATATTTATGTTGCTATAAAAAGTAAACAGTATAGCTGTACAATCCAAGGATTTGAATCTTAATGTTTACAGTTAATGACCATCTTTTATACAGTTCAGAACTGTCTAATTTTATGGATTCAAAGTATTTATTGTCATATATACAGTGAGGAAAGCAAGTTTCCCTGTACAATGAAATTCTTACTTTGCTGTCCACACTGATTATCAAGGTGCAAAATAGGCAGAATATAAATATCATAAAAATATGTAAGCAATATAATATAAAAATATGTAAACTTTTTAACACTGCAAATGTATGTGCAACAGTGCAAAAAAGGAGACAATTATTGGAATAATTACTGTTAATTACATTTTTACAGCTCAGAACTGTCTATTTTAAAGATTTGTGTTGTAATCATATAGGTAATAAAAATGCAAACAGTAAGCAGTGATTGCTAAACCTTTAAATATACAGTAGGTATTAGTTTCACTGGATTTTATTGTACATTCTAATCATGTTTTACGGCTTATAGCTTTGTAACATTTAAAATCACATTTTTTTAATTAGAGAGAATACAGTAATTTTTTTGACTATGACAATAAATCAAATTTTCATATTATTTTTGTCTGTTAAATTTGAGGTCTTACTCTGTAAAACTTTTTTTTTAACAATAAAAACTTTCCTCACTGTAAATTATTGCACTGTTTTGTGAAATGCAGTTTTTTTCTGTAGCATTTATAATGTATTTTGGGTATTTTTAAGGGTTGAATATCTGCTGATAAAGCAAATTGCTCATATTGAGTCTTCAATTTTATTTTCAATGTGGATACAGTGCACAGATCTTCACAGTTGCCTTATCTTTAATGCCACAGATGTGATACTGGAGGAGAGGTTTTCATATGCCCTTCCTTGAACACACACAGAAGGTGAATCGACACAGAAAAAGCTGACGCATGCTCTTCATACAAACAATAAGCAGGTTTTAATGGTAAATCTTGTGCTGGATGGAAGGCAGTTTGGTTTTTAAAGCATCGGACATCACCTAAACAAACCTTTGACCATTCATTAATATTGCATACCCACTGGCTATGTTTGGATGCAAAAATAATTGATTTCAGATTAAGATGGCTGTAATCCTTGCTTGATAAGAAGCAGAACGAAGCACAATGAACAGATATATTGCCTAAAACAAAATCGAAGATGTGGCAACTTCTGCATCCTCTATTAAGAAACATCGTTCTGCTCGTCCAAGCAATTTTAAACTGCATCCACAAATGGTCCATTATTATTCCCATGCACCCGCATATGGATTATGTTGCAGAGAGGGAGAGTAAAATGTTACCTCAGACACCACTTTCCAAATTAATTCTTGCGTTTCGAGGATCCAGCATCCGCGGATCGGCATTTCCCCGCACCTCGTCTGCCTTTGCTCCCCCCTCCCTTCCTCCCGCACTCTGCTGCAGAGAGCACCGCACCCACCCATCCCGAACACTTACTTTCTCGCGTGTCCCATATCCAGACGGCAGTTCTCGCAGACACGAAGTGGAGGATATTAAACACACAGATAGGCTGCTTTTCTGCTTTATTTGGAATCTCAATGTCATATATGCTCCATTAGCCGCCTAAACAACAGTCTCATCTGGGGTTCATCCCGCATTTACTGCATTCCACCGCAGGGCGCACCACCCTCGGTCCTCGTGCTCAGACTGGACTCTTTTGCTGGTTCCAGTCTGCTGGTTTGGGCCAAACGCCACAAATAGCTTTTCTGCTATAGGCCGAGCTCAACACCTGTCAGAATCCACCTGTCCAATCAGGATAAAGTAGCGCAGAGAAAGTACAAGGATGCTGATGCTGATTAACATGCGGATGAGTTACTTATCTACGAGCGACACCTTGCGGCTAACTAGTTTTACACTGTTTGTGGTTGCAAAATGTTTTAATATTTTTCCAACATTATTTCTTACAATTAAACATATTCTAAAAGTCTTGCCCTAGCTTAGAGGAAATCAAATACCCCGTCCGATATGGACTATTATTTTTATTAAAGGGTGATTGGGACTTTGTCTGAGTCAACTGTGCAGAAGATTTAGGCAGGTGTAAAAAATCCTGTCAACACAGAATGCTTTCAAACATATAAATAAAGATTGTTTATTTTTGTAAATACAAAGAGGGTGAACAAAAGAAAAATCTAAGTCAGTTAAATAGCCTTTTGCTTTCAAACCAGCATCAATTCTTCAAGGCATACGCTTGTACAGTCATGAATTTTGTGAGATTATTCAGTATGAACAACCAATTATAACAAACTAATGACTATCAACGTCACAGGTACCCACGAACCCCAGTCATGAACTAAAATGGAAACAGCAGTGTAGGAGGGAGAAAACTACGTGAAGAAAGCCAAACTCTGCAACAGGTTCTTGTCAAGACAAGATTGAGCACAGCAACAAGACAAAATGCAGATATATTGCACCAACAAGCAGGCTTTCAAAGCAGACTAGGGCTTCAAATTTGCCTGTTAAAGCTCTTTTGGAGGAGCTCAAAGAAAAAGGCCATGAGGACGATCATATACGCAGTCTGCCGAAGGATGTCTTGGATGTCCAGAAGTGCCAGTATTGCCCATCTACTTTCTGGGAAAGTCTGAAGTCTGGCCGGAAGTGATTATGGTAGAGTCACAGACAAAAAGCCATAACCCGGACATGGGCATTGTTAAAGTGTTGAGTAGCAAAGCATAATTTACAAAACACATTTTGTGATAGTTAAACAGTTGCTAGTTTTACATTTTGAAATGGGTGTTTACTTACATTTTACATTACATTTACATATTTGGCAGACGCATTTATCCAAAGCAACTTACATTTGAATGAAAGCTCTTTTGTTTTGTCAGTTCCTGCTTTCCCTGAGATTTGAACCCACAACCTTCACATCGTTAGCACAGTGCTCTGGCAACTGAGCCACAGGAAAGCTAATTGCTTTTTTTCAAAACTTTAAAATACAAGCCAGGTCCCGATTTTCTGTTTTTCATCGAAACTAGATTTTTAGAATGGGCAGTTTCTAAACCTATAGCTTTTGGTGAATTACTGCCACCACCTGGATCTTTAGTTGGGAACAGGAATATGTAAAAGTTTACTTTTTTATACCCTTTTTATGTTTATATTTTAGATTTGCCTTTGTTTTTAAAAAAGTATTTAGGGTTTTACACATTCTATAAAAGAGGTTGCCGATGTATCACTTGTTTTACGTCTTTTAATTAACGAAACAATGTTTATACGCTCAAAGATTATACCAAGCCCGCAAGTCTACGTCACCGTGTATCAGATGATTAACTTCAGCTGTGCCTCATCGCAGACAGGTGATCTTAGATTGGGTTCGTTCAGGAAATGCTTGCTATAAATGCCTTGGAGAAACGCTTTGTGTTGTGAACTTTAGTAATAATGAGAATCGGTTGACTAAGCGTGAGGTACATCTAAGAAAATAATGTGTGGTCACGTTAGAAGTATATTACTTCTTTTACTAGCTCACTGTGGAGGTTTCTGCAGTGGGTTTGTAGGTGAGACGAAAGGCGTTGATGAGAAACCAGCAGGGGGAACATTTAAGTTACCTACTTTTAGTCGATACGATGGTCAGCCTTCATTTCAGGGACAAACGGCACAGTCCGGACCACAGTATCAATGTGGCGACCGAGCTTTCACCGTTATGATCAAACAAGAAGATTCTTCTAATATTAAGGTTAAAGAAAGTAAGTTCAAATGAACTAAACTCATTCTACTGACTCGTACAGTTCTTTAAAGCAAATTTGTTTTTACTTTTTGTATGAAAGCTACGGGAAACCTCCTGTTCTTGGTCCAGTTGTCGTCCGCTTGTGGATATTCCACGAAGACTACCCGCACAGATGTCCTCCTGCTGTTTAACTTCGATTCCTGTTACGTGAAAAAAGAGGCACGTAATAATGAAAATGTTTCTTTATGAAATGTCTGGGTAACCCGTATTTAATGCTGGTCAGAGTTTCTGCACGTCTGTTTAAATGTCCAATGCTAAAACTTAAATGAGCACTGTAGGTTTTTTTTTTTAAATAGAATTTGCTCAATGTAAAGAGGATAATGCCCAATTAAAAGTTTTCGTTTTTTTTGTTTTCTTTTTATTGTCAATTTTGGTTGGGCTTGGGCAATATTACTTACATTTTATTATAGAGTAAAAATGTTTAGCACATTTAAGTGCGATTGGTTCAATTGTTTTGGCCTTGGCATTAGGTGGCTAATTTGCTTTCTCCATGTCATGGTTAAAAACCCCACTTTTTTGTCCTTTTGAATTTAAGCTAGTGAATCTTTTATGCCTGTAGTTGTGTTCTGCTGATGTGTGACTATCCAGCAACAAATCACTCACTTTCATTTTGTTTTAGAAGAGATATACAAAAGGCTCCTTGAAGTGACTGCTAGAGATTTTTAGCATCATATTTATATGAAATGCATACTCTTAAGTATAAACTGTTCCTGTTCAATTTCAGGATTCTGCCTACCGGTTACCAATTAATTGGTACGGGACTGATAATGTTCTTAACTGTCCTGTGAAAAAGCCAGCCCCAACGGTTGTATGTAAGAACAATGGAATGGAATTGACTGTTGCAGATGGTGCCTTGGATGATTTATTGGTGTCATGTAAGTATGGGTGATGCCAAAAGATGCCAAGATGTTGCAATGGCTAGAACTCTGCAAAGCCCAAATCTTTAGTCAAAGCCATTAATGCATAGTAGTTCAAGATGTTGTATACCGGCAAGTCACTAGATTTCCAGAGAGCAGGAGCTCTGCTAAAATGTCTCCGAATAAGTAATGTCTTTTGAGTTTTGAATGAGATTTTGTATCATATTTTACTTGCATTGCTCAACTTCCTTCTTGCCTAGTAAAAAAAAAATGCATGTTAACCTTGCATATTGGTTTTAATGATTCTGGTGGGGGTTTGACTGATTTCACCGAACATCACACGTGTATTTTCAAAAACCTGGATCTTTTGCTGCTTCCAGATTTGAGTACTTTCTTAATACACTTCACACATGCTCAATCCCATAATGCAAAGTTTTTAATTTGGTGGATGGCTGAAATATTTTCACCCCAACATGACTTGAATCTACTCGGTAAATGGCAATAAAATATATATATTTATTTATATTTTTTTTAAATTGAGAATGTATTACTTGATGTTTTCTACTCCACATTGTCATTGAACAGTGAACGGCCAGCCTACACCTCTGCTCTATGCGTCCTCCAAGTGCTGGCAAAGATTGGAGTCAAACCAAGGAGAAGTCTCGTTCTTTGTTCCATATGCTGCCTGTGGTGTTGGCTATAAGGTGAATATTTGTTTTATTTATTAGTTTACCGTAATTTTTTTTTCTATATTTAAATTGTGCTGTTTGTCATTCGTTACAGGATGGCCGCTCTGTTCTGGATTTGAAATCAAAAGAAGAATCTTTTGCTTTGTCGTGTCCATCTAATCCAAGGTTTCCCAGTCCTGAATCAAGGCCTGTTCTAAAACCTGGCTTTTACCAAGAAGTGCCAAATGCCTTTCCTTCTAGAGCTTTACTAGGTCGGTATCCTCTTGATCCAGTGGATGGTGTTTCTAGCGTCCCTTTTCTACAACCAAAACCTCGTTGGACTTCTAGAACGCCCTCCTTTCCTAGCCTTTTTAATATGTCAGTCAACATCCCATTTGCAATCCCAGCACCTGTAAATACTTTTAACAGAGACCCTACATTTGGAGGAAGAGACCTGGTGTCTGGAAACATAAACCCTTTATCTGGAGGAGCTGTGCAGCTGTATGGAAAGATGGACCCTTTTTCTGGAGCCACAGTGCAGCTGTCTGGTGGTGCAAACCCTTTGTCTGGAGGCACGTTGCAACGGCCAGAAGAAACTGACCCTTTGTCTGGAGGCACATGGCAACTATCTAGGGGCCATGATCGTCAGCCTGGAGTCAGGGATGGTTTCTTTGTGGGCCGTAACCCTCCTTTTAGAGTCAGAGATGGAGACTTTGTGGGCCATGATCTTCCATTTGGCGTAAGGGATGGTCTCTTTGGGGGCCACCATCCTCCATCTAGAGTCAGAGATGGTGTCTTTTTGGGCCGCGATCCTCCATCTAGAGTCAGAGATGGTGTCTTTTTGGGCCGTGATCCATCTGGAGTCAGGACTGGAGGCGTTGCGGGCCGTTATCCTCTGTCTGGAGTCAGAGATGGTGTCTTTTTGGGCCGTGATCCACCTGGAGTTAGGGATGGAGCCTTCGCGGATCGTGATCCTCTGTCTGGAGTCAGTGATGGTGTCCCTTTGGGGCAAGATCCTCTGTCTGGAGTCAGGGATGATTTCTTTGCGAGCCGTGATCCTCCATCTGGTGTCCGTGACGGTCTTTTTGATCGCCGTGACCATTTCTCTGGATTCAGGGACAATCACTTTGGGAGCCGTAAGCGTCTGTCTGGAGTAAGGGACTTTCAAGGGAGTCGTGACCCATTATCTGGAGACGGGGACAGGGACCTTCTGCTGGGAGACAAGCAGCGTTTTCTCGATGGCCGTGATCGACTGTATGGAAGGGATCCACTTGAGGGAGGATCCACTCTTTCTGGAGACCGAGCATATTGGCTTGAGAACCGTAATCGTCTGTCTGGAAACCGGGGCCGTTGGGTTGACAACAGTGATTATCTGTCTGGAAATGTAGCACGTCAGTTTGAGGGCCAGGACCACTTGTCTGAGGATGAGCATTTGTTTGACACGAGTGATCTGTCTGACAGTGCAGTGTATGCGTCTGGAGCCAGAGACCGGCAGGATCTGTTTGGAGCCCAGGATGGTCTATCTGGAAGCTCAAAGCGTTGGTTTGGAGACAGGTCCAGTCTGTATGGAAATGCTGGTAGTCTGTCAGCAGGTAAAGGTTTGTCTGAAAGGACTGGATCAAGCGTTAACCAAAAGCTTTTCTGGATTTCCCAGTTGCTCCCACCAGGATATGTCATATCTACCTCCAACAGTCAGAGCCCACGTGCTCTTCCACAGACTAGTCAAAGCCCTGAACCAACTAGTTTCCCACAAAAAGACCTAGAGCCAGATGAAAATCCAAGTGAACCGGATACTGACTCAGATCCCGAAGAGGTGTTGACACCGCGTTCAATGAATCCAGGTCGCAGTGTAAAGAATATGCCTTCAGAGGACCGTCGTTCTCATGTTTACCAGGCACCTTTACATCCAGTGAAGGAATCTCATTTTCCTCACAGTCAGCATTCATCAGTTTGGTTAAGGGTCACTCCACAGGGTTCACAGTGAATGAATTGATTTGAAACCTCACTTGTTCTGTTGTCTTAATGTTACTGTTACACTTCCAAGTTTTAAGTTCTTGTGGTGTTTGTACTTGAATGCCTGGCTGATAATAAAAGATGTTTTGTGAATATACAGTTGTGTAGGTTTTTAATTTTTTTTTTTTAACTATATACAATTCTTATAACTATACCATGCTTGATTATTTAAAATCCCTTAGTATCTGTGGACCTTGCATTTGTACCCTGCACATTTTCCCATCAAAATTTATGTATATATTTCTTTATTTTCTTTTAAAAAATGTACAAAAGAAATACACCTATATTCAAAAGGAGGGGGTGTTTTAAAAATGAAAGTCTATTTTGATAATGTAACAAAATTCTAATTGGTATTTATACCCCCCCCCCCTTTTTTTTTAAATACCTGTATTTATTTTGTACATTTTTTTTATATTCCAATATAAATATACTTTAAAGTATATATAATTGGAATAAAAGAAACTTGTAGAAAAAGTATTTTATTGTACATATTTCTACTCCGTGTGAAAACAAAGACCTGGTTTATTTAGACCAGTTTGGTCAAATTTAACTGTTATGCAAACCAGACAATATCTCATTACCCACAGGTTGAAAAAAAATAAAGCTAACTTAATAGCTGGTAAATTTCTTTGCTCTTGTACATATATT